AGACATGGAAAAGATTTGCTATTTAATCTAATCTAATCTCTAAATATGATTATAAAACTAATATATCCCTCATGCCCAGTTACAGTCTTAAATTTTTGGTGCAACCTAATTTATAATGAATTGCCTTCTTATCACTTTCCCAGAGGAATAAAATATATGTCAAGTTTCAAAAAGACATGTACTACATAAGTGAATCAAATTTTAATGGCTGAATAAGGGAAAGGCAGCTAATTAGCTAAAGTGGCTGCAGAAGAATGGTATTGAGACCGGATGAAAATGGAGTTTTTGTAATGATCCCCTGGATAGCTAGTACTTAAAATCCTTCCAAGAGATAAACCTATGCAAAGTGTGCTCTGAAATTCTCTTCAATTGCAGCCCCTGTCTTTGGTAATTAAAATCCTTTCTCAGCGGTAACATCTGAAGTTATCAGGTACGAACATCTAAAAGACAGTTTGATTGTTATTAACCTAAAACTGTCTCTAAATATATCTGCTTTTGGAATTTATTCTACCTAATATCCTTAGCCCGAAATTTTACTGAAAAATTGCTGCACCCAGTGGAAAATATAAAGCTAATTTCAAATGTCACGTACATTGCCAAATGCATTTTAATACTTCCAAGATGAAAGGAATAAATTATAAAGTTCTAAAGCCTTCATGTAAAAACCATCTCTCCCTCCCACACGTCTGTCTTCTTGACAAGCAGGTAGGAACTGTCTCCAAGATTATCAGCCTGTCATGAAGGAATATTCATGAAGGAACCGAAGGACTATTCTAGATGGAGCAGTATCAGCTCAGGCACATTTACAATTTGAACTTTTACTGTTAATGTAAAACATAGGCATTGCACAGAGTGATCGGTGATGAATGGGCTTGCTTTATCTCATCTTTCACTAACGGGGCACCCATCACATTTCTGACATTCATTACATCTCAGAAGCACAAGCATAAACCACGAAAGCAGCATCCAGTTGCTGTCATTTATAAACACGAAAAAGGCACCTTTTTTCTTTATTCTTCATCTGAAAGTCAAAACATTGCAGGTGATTATTTTAGGGAAGGAAGGAAGGAGAGAGGGAGAGGGAGAGAGAGAAACGCTAAATGTGTGGCCATGCGACTTGTGTTCTATATTTCTGACATAAGAAACATATTCTTACTGTGGATTTATGTCGGGGTTAATTTTTTTCAGTTCCATGATGTCTTCTATAGTTTTTTCAATAGCATCAAAGTGAACACTCACTGAAGTCTGCAACAGCTGGAAAACATGTTTCAATCAGTTCCCTTTTCATCAACACCAGTGGCTCCATCTGTACTGTGACAGAGGCTTTCAGTATTTACTTAAGCTTCTATATGAAGATAAAAGCTAAAAGCAAAAACTGATTTACTGTACTTGAACTTCAACAAATTTGATGTTTTTACAATCGGAATAGAGTGATTTCCTGATTGGGGTAGTCAATTTTCCTGATTACCTTCATTAGGAAAATACATCAAATTTGGGAGTTTTTGTTTTGTTTTGTTTTTACCATTTTCATCTGTTTCAAGGTACTTAGATTGAAATGTTGTATCTTCTTTTCCTCACCAGACGTAGTTTCCATTGTTAATGGGCATTATGGTTTTGATTAAAGAGGCACATGGGGGAGATAGTTATAAGGATGCCAAAATTAAACAATAAGATAAAATTATTAAGAATCTTGACCGGGGGAGGTGACTCATGCCTGTAATCCCAGCAATTTGGGAGGCTGAAGTGGGAGGATTGTTGGAGGTCAGGAGTGTGAGACCATCCTGGGCAACATAGTGAGACCTCTCTGCCCCCATCCCCACACACAAAAAAGGAAAAGATTGGCCCAGTGTGGTGACATGTACCTATAGTCTTAGTT